TTAATAATTTAGGATCATTTTAGGACCTTTTGGGTTTTTGATCATTTGGATATGGTAAAACTGAAACTGTTATTTTTAAGTTAAGGTTAAAGGATTAAAAGTGAACTTGTCACGGTTTGCGAGGCAAGCCGTGTGGAGTTGTAGAAAAGGACCCAAAAGGCGGCAGCTCTGGTGCAGGTGAATATTTATTTACAACGGTGGGCACAAAACAGCACTGGTGGAAAAACAAGAAACCGGAAAACTGGGTAAGCTAATAACACAAACCAGAAACGAGGATGCAGGGAGGTCCGGGGAAATACACACAGAGAACACAGGTGACACTGATAAACATAACGAGACAGGGCAGGAGTGAACACAACATTACGCATACTGACGAGAGACTGTCAAAGTAAAACAGGAAGTACACAGAGGTTCAGACAGGAGGAGAGAAAGCACGGGGAGAACACAGACATAACAGGCTGGGGGAAAACATGGAATAAACACAAAGAGAGACGAGAGCTCATAAATACACAGAGGGGCACAGGGGGGTAAGAGTCACAAAGGAAAAATACTTAGGGAACACCACAACAGGACACCTCAGAAAACCTGGCCTAAATAAGGAGCGAAAATACAAGGAACCAAGAATACTGGGCCAACATGGCCCAGGACCATGACAGAACTGAATCCTGTTTAGAAGATACAATGCCGGTTTTTCAAAGCTGTGAATAAACCTTAGAGGGAAAATTAGTGAGGGTTGAAGGGGTAGAACAGCTTTGATTTTTGATCTTTAGAAGAAGTGGTTATAATGTAGGCTTACACATACAGATATTACATAGGAGGTATTTTTAGGATAAAGGGGGAGCTTATAAATAGAAATGAGTTTATACATATTGCATTTTGTGCTTTTAAAGGAGTTGTGGCTCAAATTTGTCTCTGGAGGGTCACGAGCCTTTGGCTAGCGCTATGATTAGCCAATCTACTGTGAGGATAATATGAGTTCATGAAGGATTGCACACGCTTACAGACACAGAGTTAAGGAACACACATGACAGTATTGATTCCAGGCAAAAGGCCTTAAATTCATTTAGCTTTTAACTGAACTTAAAGAAGGACCAAAGAGGAAGGAAAGCATATATTTTGGTTAAGTCTGATAAATTAGAATTAGAAGGTATGGTTACATTTAAAGAGCAAAATGAAATAAAAAGGCTATACCAAAATGGGTTATAACATAGGAAATGTGAGGTTAAAATGAAGTTAACACATAGGAGTTGTTTCAAGGCAGCATTTAGCTATGAGGAAATGTATACAGGAGTAATTGCTTATATGCTTAAACTTAATTGATTAAAGTGGTTGTTTTCTTTTAGAGTGGAGGAACTTGTAGTAGTGACAATTTGTGCACAGGATGTTGATGATCAGATAAGGGAAAATAGAGCGAGCAACTGGACGTGAAAGCAGGGCTTAAAGAGTTCTAAAGGGATGAGTAACGTTGAAGAGTATACATAAATACAAGTCAATAAGTTAAGAAGATAATTAGGATCAGGCTTTTAATTAAAGAGTCCCAGATAGGATAAGTTAGGGAGATGCAAGAAAAGGTGTTTTGTTTCCTTTGCAGAAGATCTCGGCGACCACAGGAGGGGCGAGGACCCTGGAGATCTCGAGGTTCGAGACCACCAGAGAAGGGTCTGCGTGAGGACACAATGTATTGTGACCTCTGGTGTTCCAGAGGTCAAAAGGGGGAGTGTCGAGGAGGGAAATTATTTTACTGCTATTGTCAAATAATTGTCATTGCATTAATAATATAATCTGCAGCATGGATATTGCATTCCAAGGTTTAAACAGTGTCTCTTTTAGAAAGACTGAGTTGCAGGCTGACAGGAAGTTGTATGCAGAAAGAAGCAGGAAGTTATTTTGAGCCGCAGGCTAAGACGAGGCTTTAACAATGTAACAGATAGCTTTAAGAAGGCCTTAAGCAGCTATGACTATTTTATACACAATGCATATCTGTGCTGATTAAAGAGTTGGAGCTCGGTCAATTAATTGGGGGTCGGAAGCTTTGTTCGGCGCGATGTTCGGACAATCTATTGTGCAAGTGACTTGGAGCCAGAGAAGGAATTGCAATACATGCTTACAAAACACTTATATATCAGGTCATTTTATATTAAGGTTTAAGTAGAGGTTCTTGATTAAAACATTTATTTAGTAGAAGACATACACATAGTCTCAGTGAGCTTCTGGTCTGGTAAAAGGTCAGAAGTGCAACAGGTGAATTAAGAAAGAGCATTTGAGGACGAGACACAGACAGTAGGTGAAGAGGTGACACAAAGAGCATGTGAGGTCAACACACACACACACACACACACACTTTAAATTAGATTTATTTAGAGGAGAGGTTAGTTATGTTTGGCTGTAACTGCAAAATTGTCTTGGTAAAAGAGGAACCGTTTCTTGGTGTCTCGGCAAGAAAGAGGAACAAGACAAGAACTGAAAGGTAGACAGGAAGGGCTAGCCATGAAAATAGGAGATGATTTTCTAGGTGAAAAGTCATGATGATGTTGATCTGATCTATGTATAAAATGTATCTGTGACGTATGAAGGGGCGTCAGTAAATAAACCCTGATGCTATAAAATATCTGTTCATGCTTTGATTAAGTCGAAGACTACTTCCTGTCTGCGTACAGAATTGTCTTCCCACGCGTGTATTCATTAAAATCTTCGTTTGACTTTACCCGGCCGGATCGGTGTGGTTATTCTTCGATCACCTCTTGTACCCTTCCTCAATACTGAATCTTAACATTAGCCTGATAGGCCGAAGGACACTGTCTCAGCTAAACTATGGACACGCAGACACACACACTTACACTGATAAGCACTCACTCATCCCCTCTCCCTTTCCAACGCCTTCGATGCTTGTGCCCTACCGGGGAAGATAGCAGTCAACTGGACCAGCACAGATGCTGCAGGACCGGATGCGCTGTCTACACCGGCTCTCTCTTACCCTTTACCCGCCCCTGTTGCTTGTCTTGTGTTTCTATGGTGTATTGATAGTCATGTGCTTTTGTGCTGAGGTGTTTTTTCTGTTATCAAACTGTTCTCCCACTAGGAGCTCAGTCTGAGTGGAGTTTTTTTTCTCCTCCTCTTACCTCATGTAGTGTATTTTCGTTGTTTTTTCCTATCAGCCTACCTTTCTGACATGTTAGATTAGATTAGATTAGATTAGATTAGATTAGATAGAACTTTATTAATCCCTCGGGTGGGTTCCTCTGGGAAATTCGATTTCCAAAAAAGCACAGCACCGACAGAAGTTACAGAGTTACAGAATATTATATATATATATATATATATATATATAATATATATATATATATATATATATATATATACACACACACACACACACACACACCACACACACACACACACACACACACACACACACACACACACACACACACATATATATAAATACAGAGACAATATAAATAAAATATACGAAGGGGATAAATAGAATAAATAGGAATAAAAATAAAAATACAAGTGAATTGCACATTTCAAGTATTGAGTCTATTGCACCGTTGACTATTTACAAAAGTATTGCACAAAAGGTATTGCACAGTGAGGTGAAGAGGCACTACAGCTTAGTTGTTCCCCCTCCTTTGTCCTCCTGTTTCCCCTCCCTCTCCCCTCCAGGGAGGAGTTAAACAGTCTGATGGCGTGTGGGACAAAGGAGTTTTTAAGTCTGTTAGTTCTTGTCTTTGGAGAAGCAACCTGTCACTGAACAGACTCTTCTGGTTGTTAATGGCCGTGTGCAGAGGATGCCCAGCATTGTTCATAATGTCCATGTCTGCCCAATGTGATGTTTGTGTAAAGTTGGTCAGAAGGTTCCTTTGTAAGTGCGCATGCGCCATTAGCGTGCTGCCTGCTGTAACCCTAATTTCCCTCGGGATGAATAAAGTATTCTGATTCTGATTCTGAAGCTGAGCATTTTTAAAATCAAGGTCACACCTATACTTCTCTATAGCTCGTAAACATGAAGCAAAGACAGCGCTTTGTATGTTGCAGACATTCATCAGCAGCTGCTTAAAACAAATCCTCCGTATCCAGTGGCCAGAGAGGATTACAAACTGTGGACAAGTACAAACCAGAAACCAATAGCAATACAGTTCTGAGAGAAAGTGGTGCTGGATTGGCCACACAATCAGGAAGTCCACCAATAACATCACTACACAGGCCTTGTGCTGGAATCCAAAGGGAAAGAAGAAGAAAGACCCAGAAACACATGGCACAAGGACACACCTATCATAGTGTTGTGTGGTTTGCTAAAAGCTTAGTTTCAAATCGATATATTTTATTTTTAAATTGATCGTTCAGTCCTCATGGGGATTGTTATGTTATCCACAAAAGGTTTAGTGGATGTACTCAGTCATAATGTACAGGGGCGGCTCCAGAATTTTTTCATATGGGTGGCCATATGGGGGCCACTGAAAACATTGAGATGGCACACCAAAACATAATTTAAAGTTCTTTTTTTTGTTTTATTTTTTTATATGCTGTTGTCAAATATAGGTCACTTGAAAAATGTGGCCAAAAAAAGAAAGAAAAGTACATGCCTAGTTAATTTCCTGTTATTAAATTTGATATTCACTGTAAGTGTGCCTGCAGGTGCAGGGGCGCAGCACAGGCGAAGGAGTGACGACTGCAATTTGGAGGGACAAACAAAGTGACCATATGAATGACAAATATGAATATGGAGGAATAAATAACAAGCTGACGTTTCAACTCATTGTAGGGTGTCTTCCTCTCTCTTGTACTCAATTATTTTCAACATAAGACAGTCCTGACAGGGGCGACACTGGGAGGGCTAGACATTTTGGCTCTTAGAATATTACGTCAGTTTCCTTATTGCAGTCGGTCTTTAAATTCTTCATGTGCCTCTATAAAGTATATTGGAGGTCTGATTAGGACCCAACATGAGTTAGATTTCTTAATACAAAACTGAATCTATCTATTAAAGTTTTGCATACCTATTCTGTGCAACTTTACTTCAGGGTTCCACATGATGCCCAGCTCCTGCCCGGTCCAGATGATGATGCCTTTGGTTTCCTGCTTCAGTGCAAGCTGCTCTCCTTCCTGATTGGTGGAGATTTCCTCCTGTTCCTCTTTAGTCTGTGGAGGATCTGTGTTCTGCTGGTCCAGACTGGAGTTCCTTTCCTGGCTACAGACCTGCGGGTCATCCAGATCTCATTTCCTTACAATCATGTTGCTGTGGGAGATCTTGATGGACAGAACACAAAAAAAAGTCACACTGTGAGCAGGTCTCTCAGATATGTGAGCGATATTTAAATATTCTCTCTCATGCAGCGAACAGAGAAGAATTCTGTTTACATGCAGAAAGTCATCATTTATGAGGCGTACAGCTCACTACTCCAACTTGGTCCTTGTGGCCAATAATCCACAGTTTTCATTGTCTCAACATTTTTCTACATTCTGCGTACAGTTCTGGGCTAACATGACTTAAATCTGAAACAGAAAACATGTCTCCAGTGAGGCAGTATCCCAGGCGGTAATGCACGCCATGTGTCTTTGTGACATTTTGTTATAAGTCATATTCATTTCTATATTATGAAATCTGCTTATTACACTTTTACATACCAAATCTGGTCAGCCGTGATCCAGGTTTCCACAACAAATCCAGCTGTTCTCCGTCCAGACATTAATCCTTCATCCTCCTGCTTCAGTGCAAGCTGCTCTCCTTCCTGATTGGTGGAGATTTCCTCCTGTTCCTCTTTAGTCTGTAGAGGCTCTGGTCCTCCTGGTTGAGACTGGAGCTCCTCTCCTGGTCACAGAACTGCTGATCATCCAGACCTTCGTGTTCAACAAAGGACACAAGAAAATAGTGACTAATGTGATGATAAGAAAGCTCAAGAAGGATGAAAACGGTCACCTATTGAGAATTTAGCTTGCGTTTTATGTTGCCACAGAAACATTCACTGATAGTCATTTGTTCACTGGATGATGTTGATAACCTTACAGCTGTCTGGGGTCTGATTTTTAGATGTGACTGCCAGTGATCATCACACACTGTGAATAACAAACAAATGAACAGCAGCATGATCTGAATATGATCATGAAAGCTTAAAGTATTTTACGACGGCAGGTAAGATATGCTGTTAATGCTAATCTTTTAACATTTACTAATAAATATGATGCAAATCTCATGGTCCACTACATTCCAAAGATGCTCTGTTGGGTTGAGAGCTGGTAACTCTGGAGACCCGAGTACAGAGAACTCAATGTCATTTTAAGGGAACGGCATATTTTCTCTTTTTTGGACTACTCTCTGTAAATCATGCAGATGTTTGTGCTGGAAATTTAAACAGATCAGCAGTTTCTGAAATACTCAGATCAGCCAATGTGGCACCAACACCCACACCATGATCAAAGTGATTTCAATCACCGTCACTGATCGCTATATGCTGAAATGCATGGACTGCTGCCATCTGATTGGCTGATTACATTTTGGATTAAAGAGTAGTTGAACGGGTGTAGTTAACAAAGTGGCCGTAAGTATGTTTACATAGATGCAGTGTTAGGGAGTAACGGCATACATGTACCGGCATTATGCATTTAAAATACAAAACATGAGTAACTGTATTCCGATATCCATCCATCCATTCGCTTATCCTTTTCAGGGTCGCGGGGGGCGCTGGAGCTATCCCAGCTGTTATAGGGCGAAAGGTGAGGTACACCCTGGACAGGTCGCCAGTCTGTCGCAGGGCTAACACATAGGGACAGACAACCATTCACACTCACATTCACACCTAGTGGCAATTTGGATTATCCAATTAACCTATCCCACAAGCTGCATGTCTTTGGACGGTGGGAGGAAGCCGGAGTACCGGAGAGAACCCACGCAAACACGGTGAGAACATGCAAACTCCACACAGAAAGACCCCGGCCTGATGTGGAATTGAACTCAGGACTTCTTGCTGTGAGGCAACAGTGCTAACCACCGTGCCGCGATAGTTACGATAATTTGGTAATAATTAGAATACAGTTACTTCTAATAAATGGATTACACGATGGTCTTTTCCTGTTTCATATGTCAGGCTATACCCTCTCTAATTTTGTTGATTTCACGCATTACCGGAAACCCAAACAAAACACGCAACAAGAAGCTCTAGTGTAAGTCTCTTGGTAATGTTGGTGGCGTCAGTTATACAATGGACCCAGAAACCGAGCTGCTCTCAACTATAAGACTCCACCGAAAGAAACATCTGGAAGTACATTCTTTTTTAAAGACTAACATTAGCTAGGGCTGTGTGACATGACCAAATCTCATATCCCAATATAAGACGTTTCTCTTATATTGTAGTTTTATTTTATAGTGTTTCTGTGTTCTGCTGGTCCAGACTGGAGTTCCTTTCCTGGCTACAGACCTGCGGGTCATCCAGATCCTCATTTTCCTTACAATCATGTTGCTGTGGGAGGTCTTGATGGACAGAAACACAAGAAAAAGTCACACTGTGAGCAGGTCTCTCAGATATGTGAGCGATATTTAAATATTCTCTCTCATGCAGCGAACAGAGAAGAATTTGTTTACATGCAGAAAGTCATCATTTATGAGGCGTACAGCTCACTACTCCACTGGTCCTTGTGGCCAATAATCCACAGTTTTCATTGTCTCAACATTTTTCTACATTCTGCGTACAGTTCTGGGCTAACAGACTTAAATCTGAAACAGAAAACATGTCTCCAGTGAGGCAGTATCCCAGGCGGTAATGCAGCCATGTGTCTTTGTGACATTTTGTTATAAGTCATTCATTCTATATATGAAATCTGCTTATTACACTTTTACATACAAATCTGGTCAGCCGTGATCCAGGTTTCCACAACAAATCGCTGTTCTCCGGTCCAGACATTAATCCCTTCATCCTCCTGCTTCAGTGCAAGCTGCTCTCCTCCCTGATTGGTGGAGATTTTCCTGTTCCTCTTTAGTCTGTAGAGGCTCTGGTCTCCTGTTGAGACTGGAGCTCCTCTCATGGTCACAGAACTGCTGATCATCCAGACCTTCGTGTTCAACAAAGGAACAAGAAAATAGTGACTAATGTGATGATAAGAAAGCTCAAGAAGGATGAAAACGTCACCTATTGAGAATTTAGCTTGCGTTTATGTTGCCACAGAACATTCACTGATAGTCATTTGTTCACTGGATGATGTTGATAACTTACAGCTGTCTGGGGTCTGATTTAGATGTGACTGCCAGTGATCATCACACACTGTGAATAAACAAACAAATGAACAGCAGCATGATCTGAATATGATCATGAAAGCTAAAGTATTTTACGACGGCAGGTAAGATATGCTGTTAATGCTAATCTTTAACATTTTACTAATAATATGATGCAAATCTCATGGTCACTACATTCCAAAGATGCTCTGTTGGTGAGAGCTGGTAACTCTGGAGACCCGAGTACAGAGAACTCAATGTCATTTAAGGGAACTGCATATTTTCTCTTTTTGGACTACTCTCTGTAAATCATGCAGATGTTTGTGCTGGAAATTTAAACAGATCAGCAGTTTCTGAAATACTCAGATCAGCCAATTGGCACCAACACCCACACATGATCAAGTGATTTCAATCACGTCACTGATGCTATATGCTGAAATGCATGGACTGCTGCCATCTGATGGCTGATTACATTTGGATTAAAGAGTATTGAACGGGTGTAGTTAACAAGTGGCGGTAATGTTACATAGATGCAGTGTTGGAGTAACGGCATACATGACGGCGTTATGCATTTAAAATACAAAACATTAGTACTGTATCCGATATCCATCCATCCATTGCTTATCCTTTCAGGGTCGCGGGGGCTGGACCTATCCCAGCTGTATAGGGCGAAAGGTGAGGTACACCCTGGACAGGTCGCCAGTCTGTCGCAGGCTAACACATAGGGACAGACAACATTCACACTCACATTCACACCTAGTGGCAATTTGGATTATCCAATTACTATCCCACAGCTGCAGTCTTTGGACGGTGGAGGAAGCCGGAGTACCGGAGAGAACCCAGCAACACGGTGAGAACATGCAAACTCCCACAGAAAGACCCGGCTGATGGTGGAATTGAACTCAGACTTCTTGCTGTGAGGCAACAGTGCTAACCACCGTGCCGCCGATAGTTACCGATAATTTGGTAATAATTAGAATACAGTTATTCTAAAAAATGGATTACCGATGTCTTTCCTGTTTCATATGTCAGGCTATACCCTCTCTAATTTGTTGATTTCACGCATTACGGAACCCAACAAACACGCACAAGAAGCTTAGGTAGTTCTTGGTATGTTGTGGCGTCAGTTATACAATGACCCAGAAACCGAGCTGCTCCAACTAAAGACCCACCGAAGAAACATCTGGAAGTACATCTTTTTTAAGACTAACATTAGCTAGGCTGTGGACATGACCAAATCTCATATCCCAATATAAGACGTTTCTCGTCTTATATGTATTTATTTATAGGTTCTGTGTTCTGCTGGTCCAGACTGGAGTTCCTTTCCTGGCTACAGACCTGCGGGTCATCCAGATCCTCATTTCCTTACAATCATGTTGCTGTGGGAGGTTTGATGGACAGAACACACAAGAAAAAAGTCACACTGTGAGCAGGTCTCCAGATATGTGAGCGATATTTAAATTCTCTCTCATGCAGCGAACAGAGAAGAATTCTGTTTACATGCAGAAAGTCATCATTTATGAGGCGTACAGCTCACTATCCAACTTGGTCCTGTGGCCAATAATCCACAGTTTTCATTGTCTCAACATTTTCTACATTCTGCGTACAGTTCTGGGCTAACATGACTTAAATTGAAACAGAAAACATGTCTCCAGTGAGGCAGTATCCCAGGCGGTAATGCACGCCATTGTCTTGTGACATTTTGTTATAATCATATTCATTTCTATATTATGAAATCTGCTTATTACCTTTACATACCAAATCTGGTCAGCCGTGATCCAGGTTTCCACAACAATCCAGCTGTTCTCCCGTCCAGACATTAATCCTTCATCCTCCTGCTTCAGTGCAAGCTGCTCTCCCCTGATTGGTGGAGATTTCTCCTGTTCCTCTTTAGTCTGTAGAGGCTCTGGGTCCTCCTGGTTGAGACTGGAGCTCCTCTCATGGTCACAGAACTGCTGATCATCCAGACCT